TTGGTTTTATCGCCCCACCAGAAAACAAACTTGTTATGACAGAGTCAGGGCAGCAGTAAGCTTTTCCCATCTGGAATTTATAGTCTGTAATGTTTTGATTGGTTCGCAATAAATCCTTTTTAAAGGGCTCAGCCATGATGACTAGTTTCACTAGTGTTTTTTTTTTTTGTTGTTGGCACCATTTGATTTGATTTGATTTGATTTATTCTTTCAAGCATGTAAAACAGTTGATATGACAACACACATAATTTTACACATAATCCAATATCAATTTGCTTATACCTAGTACATGCTTGAATGGAGTAGGAAGAAGTCAGACTTATCCAGTCCTACCCCATGACATCATCTTACCATCATTGGTTTGCAAGCAGTATCTCTACATAAATAATTCTCTTCTACACCACACAAGTAATATACTAAAAAAATTATAACAGAGTGTTAACATTCTTACATAATTACATTCTTAAATAATTATCTAATCTTTTTTTGGTTGTACGTATAGCATGAATTTTTAAATTTAACTGTCCCCTTAAATTGTATCCCCCTTCCCTTTCATTAAATAGTTTTTGAATTCCACCAGGTAATAAATTGTTCCTGGCTTTATACATAAACACTGCAGTCTTATATCCCACTAAATCGAAAAATTTTACCATGACAGAAAACCAATAGCCTGGTTGATCATGGCTTGTTAACCCAGCAGACACCTGGACTTTTATAAAGATGCACAGAAATCTGGTTATGCGAGGTATGCTGGTGTGAGGAACAAGGTGGAGAGAGCTGTAAAGAGTAATAAGTGTTACCAGCAGTGAAGTGGGAAGACCCTGTGGGATGGTACGGAAGTGGTTTCTGCCCAGTCTGAGGTAGGAGAGCTGTTTGAGGGGAGCGAAGGCCAAAGGATTTACATTACCCTCACTCAGCAAATTTCCTTCCAACTCCAGAATCACCAGGCTGCTCAGATCTTAGAGGCAAAAATAAAAAGTGACATTAGAGGTTGTCACCAAGCAGAGCACAACACACAGCTGTGAACCCTTTACACTTGATCTGTATGAGCTGTAGACCACAGAGCACAATGCAGACACGAGCTGTAGCGCAGGCTTATATCACCAACAAGGCTCATTATGATCGTTTTCTTATATTGGGTCATTTTAATATACATGTGTGTTGCCCTGATAAACAACTGGTGTGGGAATTTTTAACTATTATTGATGCTTTTGAACTGGTGCAGTGTGTGTCTGGTCCTACACATGAGCGGGGACACATGCTGGACCTTGTTCTTTCATATGGTGTGCCTGTAACTAATTTAAATATTTGTACGAATGTTTTTTCTGACCACTTGTCCATTGTTTTTGAGGCGAAACTGTTTTGTGCAG